TCTGCTCTGCCCTGCTCCCGCCCCCTGCACTGGGCACGCCCACAGCCTGGGCACGCCCACAGCCCGGCCCCGCCCCGCACGCTCCCAGATCTGCTCTGCCCTGCCCCCGCCCCTGCACTGGCACGCCCACACCCGTGACCACGCCCACCATGGCTTCTCTCTTCCCGCCCCATCCCAGGGCGAGTGTCGGAATTTTGTAAAGGTGCTGCTACTTCGCGACGAATCCACGCTCTTCGTGTGCGGTTCCAATGCCTTCAACCCCGTGTGTGCCAACTACAGCGTGAGTCTCCGCCCTTCGAAGCCCTGCCTGCCCCAGGCCCCAACCTCCTGGTCTTTGCTCACCTGCCCTCTACTGGCCCTACTCTAGCCTCAGGCCACATCACCTCTTTCGGGAAGTCTTGCTGGATAAGCCCTCCTCGGCCCCTCAACGGGAGCTCCAGAGGAGGCTTCCGAAGGAGATCAGGGAAGCCATAGCTACTTAAGCTACAAGCAAGCCAGTTATAGGATTAACTAGGATTGACTCTTAGACCCGTTCACAGATCAGTAAACTAAGCCCTAGAGAGGCTAAGTGAGCAAATCACACAGCATCCAGGGTAGAGCCACGATTCCCTGGGGCGGGGGCGGGGGACGGGGCTGCCAGGTGTGGCCAGGAGCTCTGTTACTCAGGCCCTGTCCCCCCCTGCAGATGGACACACTGCAGCCCCTGGGGGACAATATCAGCGGCATGGCCCGTTGCCCATACGATCCCAAACATGCCAACGTTGCCCTCTTCTCTGGTGAGTGTCCCCCAACTCTGACCGTCTGTTGGGACCCCAGCCCTGAGCACCGTGTGGCATTTTCCACTCTTGGAATTGGGTTATTATGAAGGCGGCTGGGAGACCATCCGACCAGCTGGGAAGCGGGTAGAATCTCAGCCACAGTCAGGACTCAGCCAAGGTCAGGGCTCAGCTGGGGGGTTGGAGATCAGCCTGGGTTCGGGCTTCGATGGGGTCAGGGCTCCGCCTAGGGACAGAGCTCCCCTGGGCTCTGGGCTCAGTCTTGGAAGATCAAGTACTGACCCACCCCACCCCTGGCCTCTATGACCTAATTTCTCACCTGCTTCCCCCCACTCACACCCATCCAGAAGGGATGCTCTTCACGGCCACCGTTACTGACTTCCTAGCCATCGATGCTGTCATCTACCGCAGCCTGGGGGACCGGCCCACTCTGCGTACCGTGAAACACGACTCCAAGTGGTTCAAAGGTGGGGTAGGCATTCATCAAATCCCCTCACCAGAATAAGAGTCCCAGCAGAGATGGAGGCGGGGGGGGGGGGCTCCTATTTCATCTTTGCAACTCACTGGCCTCTTTGAGGATAAAGCCAGAGGAAAGATTTGCGTTGGAGCTAAAGTAGAATTTGCTGGAAGCGGGTAGCTTAGAAGCCGGAAGTAGGAGTCACAAGAGGGTGATAGCAGGAGCTTAGCTCTTCAACACGTTAGGGAGGAAGGTGACCAAAATAGTGGACATTGCTGTTTGGGGAGGGTAGACACCGTGATTTTAGGATTCTGACACCCCACACCGCCCCCCTCCCCGAAAATTCTTTGAGTCTATTTTATTTTGCCTGGGTAATCAGCGAATGTCCCCCCTTCACTATAAAAGCAGTCACCCCATTTGATGTGTTCAGAGCCCCAGAAACACCATTTCTCGTATCAGGGGCTGGGTTCTGACCCCTCCTCTCCTACAGAGCCCTACTTTGTCCATGCGGTGGAGTGGGGCAGCCACATCTATTTCTTCTTCCGGGAGATCGCGATGGAGTTTAACTATCTGGAGAAGGTAAGGTCCGATCCTCACCCCCACCCTCCCACTGAGAGGCCCTTGCAGTGGGGCCTGGAGCTGAGAGGCTCTGGTCAGGGGCAGCGGGGAGCAGAGGGGGACCCACGAATCTCCACCTGGGGCGAGAGGGTCCGCCCTCTACCTCCAGTCCTCAAGACCCTCCACTCCAGCCAGGACCCGGCCTCTGAGGCCGGAAGACATTCACGGGTGCGGTTCATGGGTTTGAGGGCAGGGGACACTCCTGGCTTCCAGTCCTAGTGCTGTCGCTGTTGGCCTGTCCCCCCGCCCCGTCCCCCAACCCTCTGTCCATCCTCTACCCGCTGCCCACTCCTCTGCCCACCCACCAACTCAACATCATCCAACCACCCACCGACGCACCCTCCCGCCCATTCGTCTCTACCCATCTGTCCATCCGTCCATCCACGGATAAAGTCCCTGGCCCATAGTGGGCGATCCGTATAACAGACGAGGTTCAGGGCCGCGACGATCATCGCTGACGTCCCCCCGTTTCCGCTGGGGAACGCGTTGCTCAGAGGGGTGTGGCGACTGGGGTCCCTCAGGGCCACACTCCTCCGTCGTGGCCTGGCTGACGGCCAGCGCGGCCCGCGGGCGGGCCTTCCCGGACACAGGGCTCAGCCCCCCCCCCCCCGTCTGTCTGCTGTTGCCCCAGGTGGTGGTGTCCCGAGTGGCCCGGGTGTGCAAGAATGACGTGGGGGGCTCCCCCCGGGTGCTGGAGAAGCAGTGGACGTCCTTCCTGAAGGCGCGGCTCAACTGCTCCGTGCCTGGCGACTCCCATTTCTACTTCAACGTGCTGCAGGCTGTCACGGGCGTGGTCAGCCTGGGGGGCCGGCCGGTGGTCCTTGCTGTCTTCTCCACCCCCAGCAACAGGTCAGAGGACCCCGATGGGAGCAAACTGGGGCACTGGGTGGACGTGCGCGGAGGGGTCCCGCATTCGTCATGTATTTCCCGGGTCCATTCCGAGTTGGAGGAATAACATGTGCAAAGGCCCCGAGGCAGCAGTGAGTTTGGTAGGTTTCACCAATAGAAAGGAAGCCCCCGTGGCTGGAGAGGAGCAAGGGAGGGCGACGGTAGAGGACATGAGGGCAGAGAGGTGACGAGCCACTGGGAGAAGAGTGCACTATATCCTGAGAGCTCTAGGGAGCCATGGGAGACTGAGGAGCAAAAGAGAGACAAGGCCACAGAGGAGCCCTGTTCAGGAAGCAGAGCGACCGGGTTGAGTGGGGGCATCTCCGGCCCAGGGGACTGGACATCCGACAGCCTCACAGGGACAAAGACTCTCTCCCACACGCGTCCAAGGCCCTGCCCTCCGTCGGGCTCACCGCTCCCTTTCACCTAACTCCCCCAGCATCCCCGGCTCGGCTGTCTGCGCCTTCGACATGACGCAGGTGGCTGCCGTGTTTGAAGGCCGCTTCCGTGAACAGAAGTCCCCCGAGTCCATCTGGACCCCCGTGCCGGAGGACCAGGTGCCACGGCCCCGGTAAGAGGCCCCCCCCCCCGGATCCCGAAACGGGTGCCCGGGTGGGGGTCCTGACCCCGGGGACCGAGGGTTGGGACTTCCAGGTGGTCATCTGTGGCTGAGTTCAGCTGTACCCATTATACAGATGCAGAAAGCTGAGGCCGTTTGGGCAGGGCGGCAGGTCCCCCTGGCAAATCAGAGCCCCTGGGTGGGGATGTTCAAGTCCACCGCTTCCTCTCCACCTAGACCTGGGTGCTGCGCGGCTCCCGGCATGCAGTACAATGCCTCTAGCGCCTTCCCCGATGAGATCCTCAACTTTGTCAAGACCCACCCCCTGATGGACGAAGCGGTGCCCTCTCTGGGCCACGCGCCCTGGATCGTGCGGACTCTAATGCGGTCAGTCCCCATGCGTGGCAGGGGCGGCCTGGGGGGGGGGGGCGGGGGCAGGCCCAGACCGGAGCCCGGCCTGGTGGTCTGTCTGTCCCGGATACACACCCGCGTCACCGCCCCCGCGTCTGCCTTGCCTGGCCCGGGTGCGGTCTCGTCACGCCTGACCCCTGCCCGCCCTGGCCCCAGGCACCAGCTGACACGAGTGGCTGTGGACGTGGGCGCCGGCCCCTGGGGCAACCACACCGTCGTCTTCCTGGGTTCCGAGGTGGGCACCGTCCTCAAGTTCCTCATCTGGCCCAACGCCAGCGCCTCGGGCACCGCTGGGCCCAGTGTCTTCCTAGAGGAGTTCGAGACCTACCGGCCGGACAGGTGGAGTGCACAGAGGCGGCCCGGCGGGCGGGGCGGCGGGGCGCGCCCTTGACTCTTACCAATCCGCTCACCCCTAGGTGTGGACGGTTCAGCAGCGGTGAGGCGGGGCGGCGGCTGTTGAGTCTGGAGCTGGACACGGCCTCGGGTGGCCTGCTGGCAGCCTTCCCCCGCTGCGTGGTCCGCGTGCCCGTGGCCCGCTGCCAGCAGTACTCAGGGTGCATGAAGTGAGTGCCCTCTGGGGCGGGCTGCGGAGGTGACCCGGGGTGGGGGGAAGCAAGGGGCAATGAGCACGGGAAGTGGGGAAAGTCCAGTTCAAGTCCGGGGCCCGGCAGCCTCCTGGCTTATTGAAGGATGAGCCGGGCAGGGGACACCGCCCGTGCAAAGGCCCTGGGGCAGGATCGGGCCTGGTACGTTGGAAGAACAGCAAGGAGGCCAGATTGACTGGAGCAAGAGTGAGCGAGGGGAAAAGAGGGAACCAGGGAGGGCAGGGAAGACCTGGGCTTTACCGAGGCGGGAGCCCTGGAGGGTTGTGGGTAGAGGAAGGCGTGAGACCTGGCTGACATCTTTAAGAGCAGCAGGTGTGGAAGAAGCTGGGGACCGGGGAGGCAGCTGTCTCCCCGCCTTTAAAGTGGGTGGCAGGAGCAGGTGTGCAGGCTGAGACCCCCCTAGTCTCAGTGTGAGCCCCTCAACGCGGCGAAACCCTTTCCTGAGCCCGCTGTCCCGAGCCTCATCTCTAAGGGGGGGTGAGGGGGATAGTAGCCGCCGATTTGTCACAAGCACCCCTGGAATTGACACTGAAAGGTGCCTCGTAAGGGACCGTGGTTGATGGGTCACCGTCTGCTCTAGGAACTGTATTGGCAGTCAGGACCCCTACTGTGGGTGGGCCCCTGATGGTTCCTGTGTCTTCCTCAGCCCCGGCACCAGGTACTGGGGGACAGGGGGCGGGGGAGGGGGTCTGCCCCCCCCCCTCTGACCATCAGGCTCTGAGAGAGGTTTCTGCTGACTGCCCCTTTCGCCCCCCACCTCCCCGTCAGAGGCACCTTTGAGCAGGACGTGTCTGGGGCCAGCACCTCAGGCTTAGGGGACTGTACAGGTAAGTGGAGTGCGCGCCCGCGCGTGTGCGCGCGCGTGTGTGTGTGTGTGTGTTGGGGGCGGGTGCTGGCCTCCGTCAGGGCATGGGAGGGGCGGGGGGCCTCACTTCCAGCAGGGGTGGCGGGGGAGGGACACAGAGAGAGAGGCCAAGAGACGGACACACAGACTCGGAGAGGACACACGGACCCCAGCGGACAGAGGGCCACAGAGATGCCACCGAGCGGCCGGCCGGACTCACTGGCGGAGGGCGGACGGCCGGCGGGGGCCAGCGGGGACCG